GTTCCAAGGGCTGCCCGCTTGAATCAAACCTGCAAAGCAACAGCCACTTCAGCTTGCTTTCTGTTTCGAAACCCAAAGCCATGCAGGCTTCCAGAAATTCATCCCACCACTTCGTGCCACTTAAACCCAGCATAAGTGCTACCATCGGCAAGAGCATGCGCCTGTGGGCGTCGCTCCGAGCCCCCTGGTTTCCCAGAACAACACGCTCAAGGAACCCTTCCGGCTCGTTGGCATCACGTTCCTCCAGTTGTTTGACGTCCCTGTCAACCAGAAGCTTGATTGCACGTGCTATGTCAGAGTCTCTCCCACTGCTGTAAATCACCAGCAAAGCGCCCCCTTGCAATGCTCTGTCTTGCTACGAATCCGAAATGCAGCAAGCCAACTCAACCTTCTCAATCTGCGCGATTGTCAACGCTCTTGCTTGTTCGACCACTGAGGCACGCTTGACAATGGAGTCTGCTAAGCCTGAGACACGTTGAGAGACGAGCCATACTTCTCTGCTTCGAAGGTCTAACATCGACCTTGTAAATCGCACAGATTCTAAAAACGACTTTCCAGATGACCCTCGAGCGTGAGCATCATTCGAAAGAAAAAGGAGATAGGCATGCATGCCGCTGTCATCCAGTGGAAACGCTGAAAAGGTTCTCGCAGTGCAAAACTCTGCAAATCTTTTGATGGCATCTAATTTCTTCCCCACTGTGCTTGCTGCTTTCCTTGCTACGCACCCCACCGCTGTGGTGTAGACTACTGCACACAGCTCTGTCTCTGCGTTCCCACAGCGAGCTTTGTCGGATGCTGCAAATGTAAACAAGGTCAAAAGCACTATGGATATCCAGCCAACCATGCAGTTTGCCCTTTGCGTCTCTTCACGCATGATTGCACTTTGTTTGACAGCCCTCGTGCGCAAAGCCCTGAAATGGCCTTTCTTCAGCATCTTCTGAATCTGCGCCTCTCCAGGCTTGTCACCTGTCAGATTGATAGGCAGTGATGCAGGTCTTTTCAAAGACATGTGCGGGAAGAGGTCATCAACAACATGGCTCATACCAAAAACTGCACTGAGGAAATTGTCTTGTTTCCACGTGAACTGCGGTTTCTGCGCAACAAGTGTCTGCGCAAAGCCTCCTTGAGTAGCACAGTGGTCTGTGCAGGGAACATCTGACATGGTGTCCAAAATTGTCTCGCCAACCGATGAACGCGCAAGGCTAGTAGTGATGAACCCATCGTCATCTACTTTTTTACTGTTGCATGTAGAAACTCTGTCAAACATGAATCCCTCCAGCATACTCTCCACATGTGCAGGGGCCCCAACCGGCGCTAAGTCTTGGACGATAGCATCACTGAAGGATTCAATCCGGTCATTGACAAGAGCACCCAACGAAGAAAAAGACTCAATCGGGTCAAACGTGAGCTCAAAACCATTCCAAAGTTTGTCAGAACATGCATGTATTGTATCAGCAGCTTGACTCGAAAAGTGTTCAGTAATCCTACCCCACTTGACATTCAAAAAGTAATCGAGGTGTGGAATCTGCAAATGAACGCTGAGCTTCAGAAAAATTGAGGGCACCGTGCCCGGGTGGCCCTGACAAAAACTGCAGTCGATCCCAAAATAGTGATGGTTGGACCTAGCCACTGCAATTGAAGCCAGATGTCCGTCAGTACCACCAGTGACGCTCGCAACGGTGGTAGCCATGATCACATGTTGCTGCACACAGAGAGTCACAATCACCAATACCGCAGATGAAATGGCATTGATTGGCAGGCAATGGAGCAGTTGGTGTCGTTGGCGCAGGCACCCTCCATGGATGTTCAGTGGAGGATGCAGCTGGATTGGACGCAGTGCCGTCACCTGGCGTCTCAGCTTCTGGAACATTGTCGTCCGCTGCCTCACCAATGCTGGCTGCCACTTCAATGGGTGTATTCAACCTTCTGGTCAGTTCGCACACGAGTGCAATGAGCAAAGAAACCAGTTGAGGTACTGTAAGCGATGTAAGTTGTGATGCCTCCATGCAGCTGAACAAAAACTACGACGCGTAGTGTACAAACCCGCCCACCCACCACTAGCCAGGCAACGGTGCAAACGTATAATTAAGTGTACACATGTGAAACATGAAACATGTTTAGTTTGTAAAACACACAAACTGTGCAGCAAACCGGTTTTGCAATAAACAGGTTGGAAAATAAAAATTAACCGCCAGATTGCCGATGGACAAATCAGTGTCAATCAGAGCGTGTGCAAGAACCTAGATCAATGCGGGCTATCGGCAAAGCCTCATAGCACGGAACGCGTAGAGAGCAGCGTGAGGGCGCGGGGAAGGGAGAAACGCAAAGAAGGAAAGTACGCGTAGCGACGTTGCGTGTGCAAAGCCATGCATTCATGGCAAATAAAGCGCAACTGGTTTGATGTGTACAAGATAAAGCATTATCTGCTACGCAGAAAAGTGCATTCTTTGGACAGGGACCAGTTTTATCAGCGAAATGTTCAGCCGAAGTTCTGGACGGGCAAACTGTGTCAGCTGTGTGAAGGTCCTCTGTATGGTGGGATTGAACGCTCGCTTGCATAAGCTGTAGCTGTCGGCTGAACACTGCACGTTCTGTTACATTGGCGCAGACTCTTTAGGCAACAGCAAGCTGTGCGTATGGCTCTGCAATCTGCTCATTGATTACACCTGCAAGGAGTTCTGTTTGCTGCAATAAGGCACAAGTGTCTTCTAGTGTCCGCTGGGTATGCGACAGTTTGCAAACATAGTCTTGTAGGAGGAGAAGATCTTGTGCCTCATTGTGACTCTGGGGTTCTTGAGGCAGGCATGCCAGTTCACTCGGCTGAGCTGTGTCCATATGGTCAGACGACATTCGAGCAGTGAAAGCAGTGGGTTGAGCTGAGCAAAACAGCAACGGGCGCCATGGCTTGATGTACTTTGACATCGTCCTATGCTACCAGTTGCTAGGCAAAATTAGTGGCCCCGTTAGATTGTTACTATGGCCCCCCTCCCCCTTCCTCCCACCCCCTAATTACTCTGGCTAGCTTCCTACAAAGTCAGTTGCCTAAGGTAAAGGGGGTGTCCTAGGTCAACTAAGCAACCATGGGGACCCCATGGTGACAGCACCTGTATTGCACAGTGGTCACGCGTCGTGTGTGGGTACCCCACGTTAACCGTTTGCGATTACTGGAACTGCACGGGCGTTCCGGCGCTGGGGTGTTCATGGCTGCCGGTGCTACTGGCTGCGCTGTTTGAGGGAGGTGGGTCAATACTTCCTGCTGGCTTGATCATTTGCGCAATAAGTGGATGACTTTGCTTTTCGAGCAGAATCTTGGTCATTTCTTGAGTGAAAGCTGCAGGGTCGACTAATGCCGCGTCCGCAAGTGGCCTGTCAAGGACAATGGCAATAAGCATTTTCGCCGCCATCTATTTTGGATGAGGGCCGGTCGGCCGGCTTGCATCTGTGCAAGGATCGCAACTGCCTTGTTTTTGCACAGGGTGCGTTCCCATTCCTCTAGGGCTCTTTGTGCCAAGGTGCCAGTTTGTGGTGGGACATTTTGGGCTGCTGGCGTCCCCAACGCGAGGATGAAGGGACTGTCAGGCAGCGTGGAGGACGGCAGGTCTGCGATAGCGGCTACTGCACGGCGAATGTCACTTTCTTTTACTTCATAAGATGGGGATGATTTTTGCCCAATGGCCGGCTCGGAGTCAGCCCACAGTTGCCGCAGTGTGTATCCTGTCTTCGGTTCCATGTATCTTCGGTTCACACTGCGTTGTGAGACCATTGGGATGCTTTGTGATTTATTTATACTGAATCTCTTTTCATGTCGTATTCTCTTAACATATCGTCGAGCTCTTGGAGTGTAGAAAAAGCGCCGTGCACAGATCTGCGGTCAGATCCAACGCTTCATCCAAAATTCCTACAGAACTACGCAGGTAGACGCGTACGTCAACCACGCACACCAAACTAGCGCAGCGCGTAAATCCCTAACCTAATTAAACTAAAGCAATACCGTGTCAAGAAGACTGTTTCACCCTCGACTCCCACATGCTGACGTCAAGCTCCTTCTTCTCGCTCCAGACGCAACACGATCAGTCACGGGGAAACACAAACACAACAAGCAAGCAAACAAAACAGGGGAAGAGAATGTGTTCCCTCTGTTGGTCTGTCTTATGTCAAGTTATGTGACACAGCAGCTCTTGTTCATAAAATGAACTTCTGACACCAGTCCTTCGAGCCGATGTCTCAACTGGTAAACTCGATTCCAGGTTTCCAGTTAACAAACCTCAAGTTCTTCAAATAAAGGTTTGTTGAAACTATTCCAGCTGCTACACGTCTACAAAACTCAATTTCACTAGATGAATTCAAAACATCGAAACACTTCCAAAAGTTCTCAAATCAAACTGGTTCTCATCCAAACGTGAATAACCAGCTCATTAGTCACAAGCTGACTAACTTCTCAAGAACGAAGTGATTCACACAAGGTGTCTGTACAACCTTCTTCTGGATACAAAACATAGTCAGAACACAAAGTTCTTTCTCCAAATCTCTAAACTTTTCCTCGCAAACCAAAAGCCTCGGAAATCCATGTCTTCACCATGCCTATTGCATGCTGAACTGTTGAAACGTTTGGAGTAGTTTTCAACTAGCAAACAAACTGTTCTCGGCAAAACGCAAAGATCCAAATTGGATCAGTTGACCTACAAAACTACTAAATCACTACGTGAGTTATAGTAGGTTCCAAAAGGGTGAAGTTGTGGTAAAACATCTACACACCCCGCCCGTGAATTGCACGCTCTTCGTACAAATCACGCTGTAGTTGTTTTGAAGCAACAGCTCGAAAGCAAAAGAATTGTATCCTATGCCACGCTCATTGCCTCTCACTGCAAAAGGTACCGGTGAGATCGTGTTAGCTCACCGCGCACCAACTGGAAAAAGTACCGGTGAGATCGCGTTAGCTCACCGCGCACTATCCAGCTTGAAAAGGTAAAAGTCATTCCTTTGGAAGCTTTTCTCTCTCATCAGTCATTTGTGCTCTCTGTGTTTTCGCCTTCTGACTCGCTTTGTCCAGGCGATATGTCGTCCATGGTTTGCATCATGAACATTGCTCTGTGACGCTGACTTGGATCGCGTTTGCAGACTTTCAAGACGCCCACCATGATCGCCCGTCTTTCTGCATTGCGACGACAACGTTCGGTGTCACCTGCTCCAATGCATTGCTTGATGCGCTTGCTCAAGCGACTGATCATCCAAAGACCCATATCCTCTGGACTGTATTGCTCATATGGGTTTGGCAACTCAATCCTCATATATTCATCATCCATGTCAGGTGGAAGCATGTCTTCCACATCAGGTTCTGCAAGGATTCCAGTGTTGAAGTTCTCAATCTCCAACGCACTGAAGTCCACCACAAACGTTGGGTCCAAGTTTTGCAAACGCTCGTATGCAAACATTGCACTGTCGATGGTGGATTGTTTCACTCCATCATCCTCACTGCTGTAAAAGCAATCCATGATCACTTCATAGATTGTTTCTGCCTGCTCTGCAATCTCATTGTTCTCACTGGACTGCAGTTGTAAAGAACGCTCATTGCAAGCAGCAAGGAAAACATGGAATTTCACACCATTGAAAGTTTGCTCCTCATTTGGTTCTGTTTCAGCGTCTGGCTCTTGCAAAAGTGTTTCACTTTCATCGCTATCTGATCTGCCTTCAAAATGCCTTGCAACTCTGGAAACTGCAAAGCAAATCACTCCGATGAAAACGCACATGTAAACCATTGGGCTCAAACCTAGGCTCAAGGCTTGGCTGCTGGTTCCTTCTCCACTCCCAGCTGCGACGTTGATGCAGCTGAAAAGTAGCATCACTGCAAGTGCAAATTTCATCTGGCACATCCATGAAATCATCCACGCAAATGACATGGCAACTGAAATTGGAGACATGTAGACATCACCGCAAAACTCAAAGGAAAACGCTGAGCTCGAAACTTGAAGTCCTTCTGTCATGTTGACCAAGCTGAACACTGAAAGAACTCTCAGGACTTGCTTGGCCAAAGCATTCACACCAGCTTGTTTCCTTTGGTATGTTTCATCCATTCCAGTTTCATCTGTCAACGCACGAGAGACAACCTTGATGTGGTTTTTCATCAGCTCCTTTGACTGCAAACGCGCAAACTCATCTGCACTATGGCCCCCCTCCCCCTTCCTCCCACCCCCTAATTACTCTGGCTAGCTTCCTACAAAGTCAGTTGCCTAAGGTAAAGGGGGTGTCCTAGGTCAACTAAGCAACCATGGGGACCCCATGGTGACAGCACCTGTATTGCACAGTGGTCACGCGTCGTGTGTGGGTACCCCACGTTAACCGTTTGCGATTACTGGAACTGCACGGGCGTTCCGGCGCTGGGGTGTTCATGGCTGCCGGTGCTACTGGCTGCGCTGTTTGAGGGAGGTGGGTCAATACTTCCTGCTGGCTTGATCATTTGCGCAATAAGTGGATGACTTTGCTTTTCGAGCAGAATCTTGGTCATTTCTTGAGTGAAAGCTGCAGGGTCGACTAATGCCGCGTCCGCAAGTGGCCTGTCAAGGACAATGGCAATAAGCATTTTCGCCGCCATCTATTTTGGATGAGGGCCGGTCGGCCGGCTTGCATCTGTGCAAGGATCGCAACTGCCTTGTTTTTGCACAGGGTGCGTTCCCATTCCTCTAGGGCTCTTTGTGCCAAGGTGCCAGTTTGTGGTGGGACATTTTGGGCTGCTGGCGTCCCCAACGCGAGGATGAAGGGACTGTCAGGCAGCGTGGAGGACGGCAGGTCTGCGATAGCGGCTACTGCACGGCGAATGTCACTTTCTTTTACTTCATAAGATGGGGATGATTTTTGCCCAATGGCCGGCTCGGAGTCAGCCCACAGTTGCCGCAGTGTGTATCCTGTCTTCGGTTCCATGTATCTTCGGTTCACACTGCGTTGTGAGACCATTGGGATGCTTTGTGATTTATTTATACTGAATCTCTTTTCATGTCGTATTCTCTTAACATATCGTCGAGCTCTTGGAGTGTAGAAAAAGCGCCGTGCACAGATCTGCGGTCAGATCCAACGCTTCATCCAAAATTCCTACAGAACTACGCAGGTAGACGCGTACGTCAACCACGCACACCAAACTAGCGCAGCGCGTAAATCCCTAACCTAATTAAACTAAAGCAATACCGTGTCAAGAAGACTGTTTCACCCTCGACTCCCACATGCTGACGTCAAGCTCCTTCTTTTCGCTCCAGACGCAACACGATCAGTCACGGGGAAACACAAACACAACAAGCAAGCAAACAAAACAGGGGAAGAGAATGTGTTCCCTCTGTTGGTCTGTCTTATGTCAAGTTATGTGACACAGCAGCTCTTGTTCATAAAATGAACTTCTGACACCAGTCCTTCGAGCCGATGTCTCAACTGGTAAACTCGATTCCAGGTTTCCAGTTAACAAACCTCAAGTTCTTCAAATAAAGGTTTGTTGAAACTATTCCAGCTGCTACACGTCTACAAAACTCAATTTCACTAGATGAATTCAAAACATCGAAACACTTCCAAAAGTTCTCAAATCAAACTGGTTCTCATCCAAACGTGAATAACCAGCTCATTAGTCACAAGCTGACTAACTTCTCAAGAACGAAGTGATTCACACAAGGTGTCTGTACAACCTTCTTCTGGATACAAAACATAGTCAGAACACAAAGTTCTTTCTCCAAATCTCTAAACTTTTCCTCGCAAACCAAAAGCCTCGGAAATCCATGTCTTCACCATGCCTATTGCATGCTGAACTGTTGAAACGTTTGGAGTAGTTTTCAACTAGCAAACAAACTGTTCTCGGCAAAACGCAAAGATCCAAATTGGATCAGTTGACCTACAAAACTACTAAATCACTACGTGAGTTATAGTAGGTTCCAAAAGGGTGAAGTTGTGGTAAAACATCTACACACCCCGCCCGTGAATTGCACGCTCTTCGTACAAATCACGCTGTAGTTGTTTTGAAGCAACAGCTTGAAAGCAAAAGAATTGTATCCTATGCCACGCTCATTGCCTCTCACTGCAAAAGGTACCGGTGAGATCGTGTTAGCTCACCGCGCACCAACTGGAAAAAGTACCGGTGAGATCGCGTTAGCTCACCGCGCACTATCCAGCTTGAAAAGGTAAAAGTCATTCCTTTGGAAGCTTTTCTCTCTCATCAGTCATTTGTGCTCTCTGTGTTTTCGCCTTCTGACTCGCTTTGTCCAGGCGATATGTCGTCCATGGTTTGCATCATGAACATTGCTCTGTGACGCTGACTTGGATCGCGTTTGCAGACTTTCAAGACGCCCACCATGATCGCCCGTCTTTCTGCATTGCGACGACAACGTTCGGTGTCACCTGCTCCAATGCATTGCTTGATGCGCTTGCTCAAGCGACTGATCATCCAAAGACCCATATCCTCTGGACTGTATTGCTCATATGGGTTTGGCAACTCAATCCTCATATATTCATCATCCATGTCAGGTGGAAGCATGTCTTCCACATCAGGTTCTGCAAGGATTCCAGTGTTGAAGTTCTCAATCTCCAACGCACTGAAGTCCACCACAAACGTTGGGTCCAAGTTTTGCAAACGCTCGTATGCAAACATTGCACTGTCGATGGTGGATTGTTTCACTCCATCATCCTCACTGCTGTAAAAGCAATCCATGATCACTTCATAGATTGTTTCTGCCTGCTCTGCAATCTCATTGTTCTCACTGGACTGCAGTTGTAAAGAACGCTCATTGCAAGCAGCAAGGAAAACATGGAATTTCACACCATTGAAAGTTTGCTCCTCATTTGGTTCTGTTTCAGCGTCTGGCTCTTGCAAAAGTGTTTCACTTCATCGCTATCTGATCTGCCTTCAAAATGCCTTGCAACTCTGGAAACTGCAAAGCAAATCACTCCGATGAAAACGCACATGTAAACCATTGGGCTCAAACCTAGGCTCAAGGCTTGGCTGCTGGTTCCTTCTCCACTCCCAGCTGCGACGTTGATGCAGCTGAAAAGTAGCATCACTGCAAGTGCAAATTTCATCTGGCACATCCATGAAATCATCCACGCAAATGACATGGCAACTGAAATTGGAGACATGTAGACATCACCGCAAAACTCAAAGGAAAACGCTGAGCTCGAAACTTGAAGTCCTTCTGTCATGTTGACCAAGCTGAACACTGAAAGAACTCTCAGGACTTGCTTGGCCAAAGCATTCACACCAGCTTGTTTCCTTTGGTATGTTTCATCCATTCCAGTTTCATCTGTCAACGCACGAGAGACAACCTTGATGTGGTTTTTCATCAGCTCCTTTGACTGCAAACGCGCAAACTCATCTGCACCAACTTCATTGCCATCTGAGGTGAATCCAAGCAAAAACAAAAGACCTAGAAACCTGTCTTTCTGCAACGGCTTTGTGTTCACATCTGAAACGTTGAAAATTGTTTTCACCTGTTTGATTCTGAGTTCATGACTGGCAACCTTGCTCTGAAGCCAAAGAAGTCGGCCCTTGATGTGACGCAATCTGCCAGCCCCTTGTTTCAAAGACAGCATCTTCACAGCTGAATTGTCAACATGAAGTGTCAGTGGGTCCACATCGTCATCAGTGATGAATGACACGATGTGGTGCAAGTACAAAGCATCACAAACACCTGAGCTTGCTGAGTACCATTCAGCTTCTGTTGAAGACAAGCTGATGCATTTCTGTGAACGTGATGTACTGAAAATCACAAGCCCATTCAGTGTGTGAATTGCAGCTGAAGTCGATTTCATGTCACCTGCACCTGCCCAGTCACTGTCGGTGTACACTTCCAAATTGTTTCTGCTACGCTGGGTATCCACTCCAAGCACTGTTTCCATGAAACTCTGCCCTTTCTCACATTTTTCCATTCTCAAAGCAAAGCTTTCACTGTAACGCAGGTATCCTATCAGTCTTCCCAAACTCAACCATGCTTTCCAAGTTGGGTTCTTGAGGCTTGAAGCCAGGGTCTTTGTTGCATACTGTATATCAAAACGCTCTTGTGCCATGTACATTGCTATCCCAACCAAGGAACGGTATTCTGCAGAGAGGGAATCTGACAAAGGTTGCATTTCATCTGGGGCATAGCTTGGAGAGGACACGCAAGGAGTCTTGAACAGCTTTGGTGGTTTTCCATTTGCTGCAGTAAAACGGTCAAACAAAGTGCAAACATGCTTGGCCTCTGGGTGAACGGTGAGTGATGTGTACTCAGGCGCAATCTCATGGTAACGTTTCAGAAACTCAAAGCCACCACCAGTCTCTCTTGAAATGATGGTGTATGTCATCTTGAACTCACTTTCCAGTTTGGGAATGAGAGTATCCCTGAGCCACCTTTCATCACCCATGAAAAGCACATCATCCACATGCAGTAGAAGCACTCCAAAGTTCTTGACACGCAAAATGCAAGGCTGTTCTTTGCAAGACACAGCATCCACATGGTGTTGAACACGTCCAACAAAGTAGTTGAACCACAACCGAGATGCATCACGCTGTCCAGGCAAACATCGCAAAATGATGTGTGAGCAACCATTGATTGTAACAGCTCTTGGCAAACTCTGAGGCACCTGTAAAAAGGCATCGCTGATGTCCAACGTTCCAAGCACTGCATTGGGTATGAAGCCATCAGACATGGCTAAGGCTGGCAACAGCTTGACCACTGCTGAGCTTGTTGCAGGACTGAATGTGTCCTCCCTTGATTCCAGCCAATTGAACTCTCTTGCAACTAACCTGGAACGTCTCATCCAAGCAGGTCCTTCACTCACCAAGTTTCCAGCTGAGTCATATTCTTTGCGCGTTTTCTTTCTCCACGTACGCACAAACTTTGCTGAAAGAGGTTTGCCACACTCACCTTTGTATTGCTCTGGAGTTGTGAGCACCTGCATTGAAGTCAACCTCATGATTTCAACTTTGTCACCATATTCATCGATCTTTGCAAGAAGCTCTGGGTCCAAGCATGGCTCCAATTCAGAAAACGGCTGCCACAAACAATCATCGTCCATGAAAGGATCATCATCTGTTGTATCCTCATGGCCAAAGTACTCAGTGAAAAATGTCTCCTGAGAAACGCTTTCAAAGAGTTCATCAACGTCCATGTCAACATGTTGCAGTTCTTCATCTCCAATGCGTCGCACTGTTGTTCTTTGTCTCTTTGCTTCTGGTTCTCCCTCAACAGCTGTATCTGCAACACGTGTGGCAACTGTGGAGTCCATCTGCATTGGCCCCGCCTGCTCAGCACCCTCAACTGGCGCTGAAACCACTGCTGTAGGTGGAGGTGGTGTCCTCCTTGGTGCCTGAACCTCTTGTGTTGGTTCTGGCATGGGTGTGCGTGGAGCCAAAGGAATCAAAGGTGTAACTGGAAAAGTTTGCAGCTCTGTTCCATCACCATCTTGCAAGACTGCTGAACCAGTGCCTGCTGTAGCATCAACCTCATCAAGTTCATCAGGATCTGGGGCTGCCTCATCGTCAATTCCAGGTATGATGCCTGGAACACCAAGATAAAACTTGGAGACAGGCTTCACTCGATTACCAAGCACACCCTCAATCTGCCAAGGAAACGTGAGCAAACTGCGATAGAGCTCCATGTGCTCAGACCAATCTTTGAAAATTGCTTTCACTGACCTTGTCAACCTCACATTTTGGGTCACCCTTGTGTTGATTGGTGTCCCCAACAAAGCACATGACTGGCTCTGCAAATTGGCACAAACGTCCTCGATAGGCATGTCCTCGTATGAGCTCATAGGATGTCACCCCTGCTCGAACTCCATATCTGTTTCTGATCCAACACGCATGTATGAAGGCCCATGAAAACAATGGATGTCCAACTGGAATCTCATAGTTCAGATGCTTGGAAAGTTCATGCAACAACACTGAACTCATGTTTCTGACATTGTCCACTGCTTTCTCAACCCAAGAGTTGCTTGCATGATCCAAGAGTTTGGAATTCTCAATCACTGCACGATGTCCCATTCTTTGCCATGTACGTTGAAGTAAGTTCTGCACTGCCAGGATTGCAGGCTCTTGGTCACATCTCAAGCAAATGTCTGAGTGACCCAAGAACTGCAAGAATCTCACAGCTTCCATCACCATGTATTTCCTCTGACTCTTTGCAAAAACCGGGACACAATGCACAGCGCCTGAATGAGAATCATGAAAAACCAATGTTGTCAGTTTTGAAGTTGTTGTATCAACATCCACTGATTCACAAGACTTGCCAGTGTATGCAAAATCAAATGACAAACTTGGAAGCTCTCGATCTTGAAGTCGACTTGAATCTGTCTCATGTCTTTCAGCACGTCCTTTCCCTTGCACGCAAGATTCACACCAAGCTGCATAAGGTGTGTGAGTAAGTTGATGTCGTTTGATTTCATCCTCATCATCTGGTTTCTCTGCTGTCTGAACTGGCACAGGGTTTCTTGCAGACTCTTGCAAACTGCTTTGCATGATCTCAACTTCTTCAAGAATCTTCAGTTTGTCAAGGTGTCCAATGATTCTGTTCCACAGTTTACTCTTGGAGCCTGACTGAGAAATCTCCAGATACTTGCAAGAGGCCCTCAAAAGCGCAATGGACGACGATGGAGTCACTGTGATCCCTGCAATTGTAACACCTGCAGACTGAACACCTCCAGTTGCATCGATTGTCACTGGAATTTCACTTGAACGCTGAGCATCTGTTGTATGTGGTTGCAATGCATCTGACATCTGAATATCTTGGGGAGCCTGTGCAACTGTTGAAGATGAACTTGATTGCGCACCTCCTTGAACTTGTTGTCCAGGTTGTTCATTCAAAACCATTCCAAGTTGATCGATTGTACAAACATTCTTGGTAACAATGGTCAACAAGTTCTTGTATGGTTGTCCAATGGGTTTGCAACGTTCTTCAATATCAAAAATCTTCTCACAAAGTTCCAAAACGCACCAACCATCATGCTCACTCCATGCAACTGTTGTACGGTCTGGCCATTCATTGACCAAAACATCACTGGTCACGTCCACATGCTTTTGGGCTCCAGACACATAGATCATCATGCTGTCACCAAACTCCCACCAGCCAGATTGCAGCTTCTGCCAACTGCGTGGTACATCAACATGAATCACTCTGACAGTCTGTTTGTTTTCAATAACACGCACATGACCATGAATCACCAGTGAATTGTTTCTGAAGTTCATTGGAATCTTGAAGCCACGTGCATGAGTGAGGAAACTGCCTGTGTCGTCTGGGACAATGCCCCAGCCATTTCGAAGGAGCTTTCCATATGAAATGATGGGTGAATCAACTGCATTGCTGAAATGAGCAGTGTCTCTGATTGTCACTGTCCTACCATCATCTGTTTGCAAATCAAAACAAATGTCCTTGACGCTGTCCACCTGAATGGCATTACCTTGAGCATCACGCAGTCGACTGTCCTGGTCTGCACATGGTGTTCCTGCATGGTTCAAATGAACTGGAAGTACTGTTGCATCAGATCCAGAGTCCACTACAATGTCATGACCTGTTGAAATTGCACGCACTGAAAAACTTCTGTCATCACTCCAGGGCTGCTGCAAATCAAACTGAAAACAAGGTTGTTCTGGTTGTTGAAATAAGGGTTGAGGTTGAGATTGAAATAAACGTGGTTGACATGATGGTCGAAAACACTGAGAGTCACAAAAACGTCGTTTGAAATTGGATTTCTTTGTCAAATCAGCACCATACAAATTGAACTTGTAGTCCATGGCAACGTTCTCTGTGAAATGCTCGAAATCGTCCACCTGTGGCAGTGACTGCATTCGAAACCTGTCAATTCCATCACCTGCAGGTTCGAAGGCATACTCATGAAACATTCCATGCAATGACAAACCACGTTGAAAATCTTTGCAAGTTCCTGCATCTGAGCATGAAATCATTCTGACACTTGGACTGAAAACATCACTGCCATCTGAAATGTCGAAATAAGCACTGTCACCAACGTTGCAAGGCAAAGAAGAACATAGAGAAAATGTGACACGCTTCACATACTGTGTGGAAGAACCATGTGTTGTCGATGTCTCTGCATTGGACTGCGTTGAAGTTCCAGCTGCATCTCCAGAACCTTCTCCAACCAAACGCACTCGACAGTCTCTGGCCTTGTGGCCAGCCTTTCCACACCGATAGCACTCCATCTGGTCTGACTTCTGCTTTCCCTTGTCCTTGCTTTTGCCTTTTCCCTTGTTGTGCTGATCATTCGAATTCGAAGACCATCCATGGCCTTTTCCACTGTTCCACTGGTTCTGACCCTTTCCATTGCTATTCCAGCTAGTCTTCCCTTTGTCACCTTTTCCTTTTCCTTTTTCATCACTTTTGCCCTTTGCTTTGCCCTTCTGATCGGGCTTGCCTTTGCCCTTACTCTTGCCTTTGATTCGATCAACCTCCATTGGCGCACTTGTATCTGCAGAGTTGGTTGCATTGTTGAATCCAAGTACCATCGTCTCAGACCACTTTGTAGTGCTGCGCTCATAGCTCAGCACGTTCTCCCTGATCTGCAAATATGTTGTACTGTCAGTGAGTTGCAGTTGAATCCAAGTCTTAATCTGCCCAACCAAGCATCGAAGTAAAACAGCTGATCTGAGCTCCTCTGAAAGAGCACTTCCAAGCTTCTCGTATTCAGAAAACGCTGATTCAAGTTTCATCACCTGTGACATCAATGAAACCTTGTTGGAAAAACTTGGCCAGTTCATGATTGCATTCAACAGACTCATAGACCGGTTCTTGTTCTGGGGCTCATTGCTAACAATAAGCTCTCTGTAGCACTCATAGCCGTTGAAATCCTTCACAGACTTCAAAAGCATCAGTGGTCGATTCTTAAGAACAGACGCAAGCAAACTGTATAAAAAGATGCAACGCTTCTGCTCATCGCTCGCCATGATGCTCATGTCCACTTCAACGTCAGGTGTTTTTCTGATCCTGTCAATCTCTGTCACAAAGCTGGGATCCAAAGTCCCAACATATTGCTCAAACGACCAACTCCAGTCGCGCCACTTTGCAATCTCATCCTCTCTCGTTCCAGGGTCAAAGCTTGTAGGCTTTGGCAACAAACGATACCAAGCTTTCTCGTCTGTGCTTGAACTCCCAAGTGAGCTCTTCAAACTTTCAACAGCTGAAACTGCAGCTGCTGCAGCTTCTGCTGCAGCTGTTGTAGCCTGCACCATCTGCATAGCGACTGCAGCTCCATCTAAAGCCTGTCCTGCTGTCGGCGAACCACTTGGAGAAACACCTGGTGATCCATCGGCCACACCACTCATGAGACCAAATCAGATACAAGGCTCTGATGCCCTAAGCAGTGAAGTCCTATGGCACAGCAACGGTCGCACCGGGGCTACGCTGGAATGCGCTTTGGGATAGGGTCCTGTCCCAGTAGCTTTGCCCTCACCACAGATCGAAGAAATGTGGATCCTCGGGCTCCGCTACCATCTAAACTTTTCCTCGCAAACCAAAAGCCTCGGAAATCCATGTCTTCACCATGCCTATTGCATGCTGAACTGTTGAAACGTTTGGAGTAGTTTTCAACTAGCAAACAAACTGTTCTCGGCAAAACGCAAAGATCCAAATTGGATCAGTTGACCTACAAAACTACTAAATCACTACGTGAGTTATAGTAGGTTCCAAAAGGGTGAAGTTGTGGTAAAACATCTACACAAAATCAGTTTTCCACATAGAGATAGCATCTCACAGCTTCCAACTTCAATGTAGAATAGAATGTTCTGTTCGACATTGTCAATGTAGGTCAGCCAAATACAGTTGTATCGCTGAAGTCTTTCGACCACTGTAATAGCCAATCCACAATGTAGACCAAAGTCGTCTCATACAATGTCGTCCTCATAGAGATAACCAAATCAGGAACGATAAAATGCACACCATAAGATCAAGTGTATGATCCATAGGTCACGATGACGATGATGTAGGTATTGTCCTCACAATACCGAAACATCTCATCACAAAACTCTCAGACAAATAAGACGAATAAATATGGCCATTGTCCTCACAATGCCAATGCATCTTAATGTCCAAACTCAAAGTGTAGTAGCTTCTCCCCATCAGGTGCTTTCAGCTAGTTTAAACTCTTCTCCAAGAGTTTCAGCTGTATGTTCTCATCACTTGGGGAGAATAAGCTTCTCAGCGTCGAAGACACAATAAACGATTCCAATGTCAAACCAATGTAGGTATCTTCAGCTCAAGCAATAAGCTGTACCAGATCCAAGTAGAATCCAGAATAAGATGTAGAACTGATCAATATACCACAATCAGTATTGACCTAATCAATGACATCATCCTGATGTCAGAAATGATAAGTCCGAAGACCAATAGAATATTGTGATACAGGTTGGTCACATACAAGATTCCTTCCGCAACAAGTAGAGTGTTCTCTAGCAATCTTCCATGACGCGATGAACTCTTGCAGTAGCCTTCCACGTATCTTCTGTGCACAAAACTATACAACCAATGATGAGTGGCATGTCGCTTCACCCTTACCCAAAGGGTGCTTCCATAGGGCGTCAAATTTCCATACCCCCTTTCGACATGACATCTCATCCACTCACATCACTGCCATATACGGATACCAATAGTATTCGATGATCCGCAGAAAAATGTTCATGTTCCCGATCACATCCATGATCAAAAGATATCCAAAGAAGCACACGTCTTCCAAAACACAAGGTAGATGATAAAACGTCATCCAAAACTCATCTCGTTCGACTCATGCATAATGTCGTAACTTCCAAATTCAAAATCTTCTCTGTCGCGAAAACCAGATGTAAGGATACCAGACTCAGTCCATAGGCTCCTAAAGTCTTTCCAGTACTAAGCTCGTCTTCCAAAATCCAGTTCCTCAGATAAACCATGGCGTCGATAACGATATATCTACAGTGCTGTTGTCTTCCAACAACAAACAAAACAACAACAGAACACAACAAAACAAAGCAAACACACACACACACACACGCGAGACCCAAGACGAAACCTAACGTCACACGATCGGAGTCAACACGAAAACAAAGGCCAACTGTTTCAGCTAATCCGCACCTTCGTGTAGAAGGTAGGTGTATAAGAAGAAAACGCAAGTGAAATAATATCACGCATGCAACTCATCTCAAATTCAAAGCAAGTGAAGTACAGTTCACAGTCACTGCACAACAAATTCAAAATGTTCTGAATGAAAATCTTTCACAGTCAGGGTCAGGGCTAGCTAAGACTGGCACAGAATGAAGAAGCGGTGAGAGACGTTCTAAGACAGAACAGCTCTCACAGTTTCATCATCGCATAGATCGCCGTCCCCCTTTCAACGTCTGATCCATCCTAAAGATCTCGGAGGTGTGGTATGTCTTGTTTGAGTCTATATCATGACATGAGGGTGCAATATGTCTGCAATCATGGCATCAGATTCCCCTGGAAGGTTTTCCGATTAATTAGACTCAGATTCCGTCTGAGTTTCTTCCGAGGTTCTCATCATGTGCCATGACAACTCAATTACACCAAATGTTTGTTAAAACACTCACAACATCAAGTTCCATGTTTCAAGCAACAAAACTCAAGACATGCACACAACAACTCAAACATGAAAAATACCGCAATAAAGCCAATCAAGAACAATTTCAACTTTTCTTCATGATGTCTCCCTCAGATCTGTCAGCAACACCAAGTTCTGAATGCCTTCAAGAACGTTGCTCTCGCCATCGTCATTGAGAGACATATGACAACAAAACGAACCTCAAACAAAGTTATGTCCACTGCGTCAATCAGCGTGTCTTGCCCCCTTTTAAACTCAGGCTTGGTATCTATACTCAACCATATCGTCCTTTCTGAAACCAACAAGTGAACCTCGAGTTGACAAAATCAACTATTCTCTTGTTGCCACACCAGGCGAATTCCGGTGCCTTTGGCACTCTGTTCAGGTATGAACATCAGGGGTATACCCGACGGTATTCTCGTGTCCCCTGTATTTGAACATACCCTAAAGGGGAGAACGCTGCCGTCCCCGTCATTGGGTCATGACGTGCAGTTGGTGAAACACACCTAATGCGACCCGTGACCTCTTCGATCACTTGACAAGGTGGGGATTTAATATCCTTCACTTCGAGAGCCAGGGGATAGCTCATTGGTAACTCCCCCATCTTTGCCGGGCTGTAGCCCACGAACTTCGCCACTGGGAGCGATGGCGGCGATGGCATCATAGGTCTCGGTGGCACCATAGGTGGCACTGCCGGTGGAGGCGGGAGGTGGCCAGAGCTCAAACTCACACCAGGTGCCGGCGTCATCGGTGCCGCTGGTGGGCTACTCTGCGACATACCCAGGGTTCCCATGGGTGGCTGCGGTGGATCATAATCCATGGTCCCTTCTTGGCTCACCGGGGCCTTCTCGATCCTCACAGCAACCTTCTGCATATTTTCTTGTAGCTTGTCCATCGATTCGAAAAGCTGGGTCATCAAATCCTGCAGAGCTTGGTCGCGTTCCGTGCGGCTTTTGTTGTTTTTCTTGAGCACGTCTGCCATAGAGACATCCAGTGCCCACTCCAGATGCTTTTTCAATTTGTTGTATTCACCAACGACCGCACCCACGCGGCTGGTGTTGTGGTTAACACCAGCAGCCAATGATTCTGATGCCCTTGCCATGTTGTTGACTGCCGCTCCCACGGCCTCTAGGCTTCGGCAAAGGTCCTGCTGAAGAGTATGCGTACTCTTGATAAGGGTCTCAAGCTTGTCCGTCGAACCCTTCAGCGCAGCGACCATCGAAGTGATTCCCACAGCCAAGCCCGTGGTAGAGTTCAACAGGTCTGTAGCATCACTGGGATCAAATGGTTCATGCATTCTCAACCTTGGAGATCTCGATCTGTCATCATCTCTTCCAGCATCTCTTTCCTCTCTGTCTTCCTTGTCTTCTCCATGCACATGAGCAGTGTTCTGCTCTCCCTCCTTCTCTGATTCAGTCTCATCATTTCCTGCTCGTGCCGTCACTGGTGGATTCTCAGACAAGGGAAACTCTCCTGCTTCCGCTGGAGCTGCCGGGGCTGCTGCCATGAATCGTTCGAGTCTCCTAGACAAGGCCTGA